ACTTGTAAGCGGAGATTTTGCTAGAAGTTTCCTAAGCCTTTTTAAGCATTGTTTTTTTATTTGATTGGCTTAGTGGAAATTAAGCTTTCTGGGGTGGGGCGCATTTTTTGTTTTCCTGTCTGCTTGAAAGTCGTTTTGTTTTTTGCTTGCTATGCTTTTTGTGCTCGTACCGCCGTATGTTCCCAGCTAACTTTGTTCATATTGCGTTAAACTTTTAATAGCAGCTGCTGTGCTCTAGTATTTCAGATCATAAGATGGTCGCGGGAATTGTGTTGACGATTCCTGGCGCGAGATCTAATGTAGGACCTGGAAAATTGCTTTTGTGGGCAGTATGTGCGAGTACCTAGGTATCATATTTCTTGTTGTTATTGCATGTTTGACATTTGAGCTGTGGATTGTGGGTGATTTAATTTCGTTCTTGTGAGAACATTCTATGCTATTCGAGGGTGGTATTGATGATCAAGCTGGCTCTTTCCGAAATTTGAAATGGCGTTTTCTATGGATCGAGACTTCATTATTCTCCAACACTTGCATGTATGACTTGCATAATGTCATGCTGCTTACATGATCATACCCTCACAGGTTATATCAGTAAGGAATTGCATCATTTTTAGTGAGGTTATTATTTCCAGGTTCATAATTTCTAATTGTTTGTGAAATATTCCATGTTCATGAGACTTGCATTGGGGGCTGTGTGATTTCTATTTATTTTTGTTTTAATTAATAGCAACCATCGTGAATTTTTTTTCTGCAGACTCGAATGCTTCTTTTTTTTTTTTGTGTGTGTGTGTGTGTGTGTGCACGCATAGCTTGCTTTATTAGTTTCTCTTGTGTTCATTTGGTTTAAAAACCTGACTTATTCTTGCTTCTCTTTACCACAGTAACTACTCATAACATCTGGCATAGCTTTTGAGGTGTTATATACATCATGATGCCCGATACTGGGAAGGAAACTTGTGAAGTTATCTTAGAAGAGAGACTGAAGATGACAGACAGGCATTCTTCACATACTTATTCGTAACCTTCTGTTTCTTCTAAAATATCTTCAAGTTTTCTTCCCAGTCTCTGGGTGTAAACATCATGACTAATATGCACCAGGTCGCCTGCACATTGGCCATTTTTTCAACTGTATTCATGTTGCATATGAACAATTTCTGGTGAACCCTATTGAGAAGTCTTGTGTCCGTCCGGTCAACGATTAACTGAACTTTGATTATTGGTGGCAGTGGATAAGAAACCTTGGTACCGAATAAGTAACGTGGGGTGCATGTCTTCTGCGAGATTTCTGCATGTCTTGTATTCCCCGTTTGTCGCATTACTCAGTCGCGATAATTTCATACAAATTAGCTTTCTTCATTAGTATTCTAGTATGTTTTCTTGTGTAATTAGCTTTTCTCTTCAGTATATTTAATGTGATCTCTTGTGTATGCTTTTTCACAGCATGCTTAACCTGTGGACCCTGGTTCATCAAGACGTGCTGCTTTTGGTTGATCTAAATTGTTAGTCTTGAGGGACCCTGGTATTCAGCATGACTTCTTTTTGCCTGCACTCATTAAATCATGGTGGTTTTTTTTTTTTTTTTCTTTTCTGCAGCAGGAGCATGTTTCCCGACGAAGACACCCCCAATCTCCTCTTCGATGGCGTCCGGTTCCAAGATCTGCCCATCTGCCACATCAAGTGTAGCCTGAACAACACCATCTTGGCACTGACCGACCGAACAGGTCCGTGATCCAAGGTAACTGCTTTTTTGTGCTCTGGTGCGATGACTTGCACTTTTGGACTTTTCCCTGTTGTGGGTGCCTTCCTCTGGGAGGTAGGGGGGCATTTTTGGTTTGAATATATTACCTTGGAGATCACTCCAGTCTTCATTTTTATTGCGGTGGTTTACTGTTCAACTGTCATGTCTGCATGGTAGTTGGGTGTACCATATGAACTGCTTATTTTTTTTTTATTCTTTGTATATTTTTTATTGGCAATTTAGTCAAAATGTATATGTGCCATTTTTGCTTCGCTCACAGGTTCTGAGAATTAATATGCATGGCAAACTTTGGGGTAAACATCATAACGGTTTCTTGTAGTATATTTTGGTATGTTTCTGTTGGTTGTTGCGTCAGTTAAGGAACAATCCGAAACTTGTGTATATTTTTGTACAGGCTATTTTTAAGTCAATTCATGTGTGAGAAAGTTTCAGAACATGGTGTGCCTTGGTTATTTTTGTTATGTTGAAATATTAATTCCTTTCACTTATTTTTGGGAAGTAGCGAATTGCCATTGAGTTGCCCCACAGCTCTTGCTGTCCCGTTGAACTTTCACCGTGTCTCCGAGGACAAACGTGCTGTGGACAGAAACGCAAAGGCCTAGCCTGCTATGTCAGCCCTCGGTCGCAGCTTTGCAAAGTCTGGGGCTGACACGAATGCTATGTACAGACGACAGATCTTCCTTGAGCTGTACAAAATCAACCCTCCTTCCTCAGCTGTATTCTTGTCAGTTTCTAATGTCTTTTTTGTTTCATCTGTTGCAGGTAAACCGGTTGCCATGAAATCGGGTGTAAGTGTTATGCAAATTCCACATCTTTCACCTGCATTATTTTTGTCTGGAGGCAAGTTGCTGTTGGGTGCTCATTTTACCTTCTCTCAAACAGGGAACTGAAGGCTATAAGAATGCCAGGAAAGGTACAACTGTTGCGGCGCAAGCGGCGGCACTCAGCTTCAGCTCGGTGAGTTCCTCCCACCCAGCTGGTTCTTTTTTTGTTAGTTAATTTTGTCTGGCGTGGTCTAAACGATCCGATTAATCGGCTGCACTTGCGAACCCATACGGTAGCCGCAGGGGTTTGGGTGGTTGCGGAAGAGGTGGGAAGGTCTGATCGTTGTTTGTTTGCACTGTTTTACAGGTTGCCGAACTACAGGCCATCAAGAACATCAGGGTCATTGTCAAGGGCCTGGGCCCAGGAAGGCTGGTGAGTTGTTTCCCCTCTCATGTCCTTTGCTAGTTGACAGCAGGGAGCTCAGTGGCGATCTAAGGTCAAGACCTCTTTGTTTCAGCAAATCTTGTTCGGCAGTCATTGCACGATGTAGCTAGGGCTGTCTTTACTCTTCGCTAGCCTTGGTTGCGATTTGCATTTAAAAACAACGCGGAGGCCTGGCAGTAGCTGGGTGGGCGCTTTTGGCTTGCTCTCTCGATTGGCTGATGCTTTGTATCGCCTGACCACATTGGGTCGGAGTAGTCATGTAAACGTAATCTGAACAAACCCAGAGTTGAGCGTTTAGAATATGCAGCTTGCGATTATTTAGACGGCAGCTTGATTTCGCAGGCGTTCCTAAAAGCCACCCACAGTGTGGGGGTTGAAAGATACACCTAAATTTCACAGGGGCAAAGTGGAGATCTTAAAATGGTCGCAACAGGTGCTACAAACATAATTATCACTTACGCACTGTCCTTGGAGTGATATTCAAGCTTTGGTGCACAAACTCTCGACACATGTTGTGACAAACGCTCGTTTTGATTTCAACCGTGCCACTGCCTCTTTAATGATGTTTGGGGACATTTACGTCTGGTGGCTGTGCGAAGGAAGAGCCTTCACTTGTGTGCTCTAGTTACAAAGTCTGCACTGCACAGTTCCAGCTGCAGGTTTCAAAGCTCTCAATTATTTTGAGGGGTTGAGGCATATGTAATAGGCCAAATCTCAACAAGTCCTTAAATTCTTCTTTCAGTATTTGCCTAAGTGATCAATGTGCACATGAAATGTGCTGCATTGGGTTACAACCTTTTATAGCTGAGACTTCTTGCCTAGTGGCAAGCCTATCTAACAAACCTTGCTGCAAATGCCATTGTTGGCAGCAGTTGTTGCTTGTTTAACCAATCACAGTACTGCACTCCAGGGGCAAAGATCTAGACCTCCGAATATTTTTAATACCAGACATTTGTTATCACCATCAGTGTGCGAATCGAATGCAATAGTAATTTTGTAGTCGTATGGCGTTCAGCGTAGAATTTATGCGATGCATACTCCGAAAATTGGACAATGTTTTTTTTTTTATGCGAGTTCTGCACGCTGCCAGTCGGCTCCAATAATACAATATTAGTGCATGCTCACTTAGAAGTTGACATTGAATGCAACTTTTATTGTTCCTGGCTTGGGCCATAGATCAGGTCCCTTTGTCTCACTAATGGTTACGTCCAAGGTTGCAATGCAGTTTCATGCCCTCTGTACCCCTTTTCAATTAACAAAGGCAACAAACAGGAGTTTCGTTACTTGATTACATACGAGATGCTATTTATGCTGTGGGTGGGCATGTTCCTTTCGCAAAACTCACAAGCAGAGACGTTAACTACCAGAGAATGAACGTTCGGGCAGCAAGGCAAGAAGACTATCTGCTCACGCCTTTGGTGTTAGTCCACGTTAAAGTGAGATAAAGTATAATGGTAGCCAACTGCATATTTCAGGTTCCCATGTTTGTTGCTTGTGCAAGTTCGTGTCCAGACCAAAGTTTATATTACCTTCTCTACTTTAAAAGCTTTTGGAAAAAGTTTGGGGCATGTTTTTTTTGCAGGCATCCATCAAAGGTCTTCAGATGGGCGGCTTAAATGTAGTTTCGATCACCGACCGGACGCCAGCACCTGAGAAGTGTCCTCGTCCACGCAAAGCAAAGAGGCTTTGATTGTCATCACGTCTCGTTGGTTTACGAAAACATACCTTCATCACTTTCATCAGCTGAAAATTGTAGAATATATTTCTGTAAATAAAAGCTTTAGAAGTTACTACATGTTATTGTCATTGCAGTTCTTACTAGTTGTTACTTTTCCCTAGCGGTCGCGATTTTTCTAGCAGACGACATTGAGTCGATATTTTTTGCACGGCGTCCCTTTCTAGACGTTTCGTTTGGGGACTTCTGGACTGTCTATGAAATGCCGCCGTTCCCTTGCGGGTTCTGTTCAAAAAGTCGCGGTATACTTTCTCGGGAGATCACGCGGTGCCTTCAACGTCATTGCGCTGTGACGACGGGGAAGAAGGTTTTAAATATGGCGGATACAATGATCGCTGCTACGTTGCGAAGCTCGGACGCTCCGCAGTTTTCGCGTCGGTAAACGCGTCGCCGGCAATCTTTGCCGCATGTTTTCGACTCCCAAGTCGGCCCGGGCGTCAGCCGACTCGAGTTTTGGCCTTTAAACTGCGCCGGGAAGAAAGTGGGAGCGGTGCGGACATCGCGGAAGTTCCTTCCACCACCCATGATGGCATCGGTCGGCGAGCGGAGGCCATTTTGGCCGAGGTCGAGGCGTTAGGCCTAGCGCGCCTCGTCGTCGTCGTTGCTTCCGAAGTCGTGCACCTTTGACCCGCTCCCCCGGAAGAAGTGTACGCCTGTGATTTTTTTTATTTTCTTTTTCTTGACATCGGAAGAGGACTGCAAAAAACTTCGTTTTCTTCGGATTGTGCCTACCCCCCGGACTTTGCATTCGTTGCACCGATCAACGTGCTAGGACTTGCGACACCACGTCGATTCTTCGGGAGCCGAATCGGCTGCGCACACGATCGAAGGTAGGCACGCTACGATTTTTCGTCGCTTGTTCCGTCACCCCCCACTCCCCCGCCTCTTGTTTATCCGTGGCATATGATAGTAGTGTGTTCTTGATTATTCAGTGACGTTTTATAAAACCCATCACGCGAATTCGGCAACTTAGAAACATTTCGAATTTTGGTCCCGTCCACCTCGCCGGGTTGTGTTGATACCGGTGTGCTTTTCGTCGTCTTCGCTCTCGCTGTTTCGTCGCACTTTTCGATCGAGTGCGTGCTCCTCACATCTCGCAGTATGTTCGGTACCCTTCTATGCCTTTGTCTGTGCCCCCGGAGTCCATATGTTGAACGTGGCTTAGCGGAGGCGGCCCCTTTGCCCGTCGGCTTCGCTGACTTCGCCGTCGCTTTCGAAGAGCGTTGCCTCGGGGCCGTGCTCGATGCTTCATTGCCGACTTCAACCTGCTATAATTGAGTGTAATTGAATGTGTTTCTCGGTTTTGACGAGAGCGTGGAGTACGCCCCTGGCGTGACATTCAGGTGACCTTGTTGATTTTGCGTTTCGACGTGGACCCATTTGAGCAAATTGCGTCTCTTTTTCGGATGTCTTCGCTGATCGCAATTCACCAGCTCGGCGGTAGCGGTGCTCTTGATTGTCGGCGTTTTGTGGAAAGTTCTTATTTCTTTGTAACCTGTGGATCCTTTCGATGATACCTTTTTTTTTTTCCTGGCCCGTGTTGGATTTTGAATTTGCATCGGTTGTTTATGTTGAGCTCCTGAAGTTTCAAATGTGCGTTGTCGGCTGCCTCCACTCTGCTATCCATTGCAACCACTTCAATTTGTGGTTTGTCAGCCCCTTAGTTCTCTTATCGGGATCTGCCGGGCTAGGACTAGCCTCTATTTTCTCGTTCAGCGACGTGATACTTGTCCAAATTTTCGTCTCGATGCGGTGGTGTGCGGCCGATGCGACGTTGAGTAGTACTTTGCCGTAGCTACTGACTCGTGTCAGATGTTTGTCCTACTTTACATGCCAGCTGCTTTGAAACATTTGGATTGATATGACTTCTGCACCGACACTCAATTAGCTATAGCCTTTGTTGACCTTTCATGTAAATGTTCCTTTTGCTGAACAAGTCACACACAAACCAATCTTTTTTTCCATCAGATTAATTGGGCTTTCAAGGCATTCGGCGTTTTGTGACCCATTGGTATTTGAAGGACCCAGCTTCACATAGTTTGCACACACATCATTAGTTCGCACACACATTTTATTGACCACGCTGATGCTTCATACGCTGGATGTGTGCCTTGCACCACGCTAATTACACACTGTAGGAGGCTTATGTGTAAGCTGGATTTTCTGACTTTAGTTTTCTTGGGTAAGGTGGCCCAGGACACTTGTTGCAACTTTTTTCCTTAATTGGACGTCTTTGGATGAACGGTGGACTTCGGCAGCATGCTAAGTGGTGCCACATTGCACCGCTTGGCTCAGGTACGTGGTTTGTTGTTTCATTGCACATTTCTGGAGTAGATTTATTACGTGATTAGTAGGACAGACACAAACTAGTAACCTCTTAGAAAATGTCGCTATCGAAAGGGTGGATGTTCGTTAACGGCTAGACCCATCATAACAGGTGGTAGCTTGTGCCACCTACCGTTTTTGGTGCTATGCCACCTGGGACTCTATACACTGGGCACTTTATTCCTAGTCATTACCAGCACTTTATTCCTAGTCATTACCATTTTAACTCTATTCCTAGTCATTACCAGCACTTTATTCCTAGTCATTACCATTTTAACTCTGGCTCAAGTATTAAAGGCTTGTATAACATACTTTTGGCTGCACATTAAAAAAAAGTTGGTCTCTACGTATCCTCTACTAAGGTCTCCTGGATTCCTAGAAGAGTCTAAACCCCTTTGAAGTTGTCCCAGTTGTGTCTGCTCCTATACTCCGTTCACCTTTAAGCTGAGACTAGAAACTCCACCTTCAGCGCAAGCTTTCTGCCCTCGCAAACACTAGTGTGCAACATGCAGGCACGCCCACCCAAAGCACTGGCGAAGCCAGCTAGCTCTCGCTGAAGGCTGAGCTTCTCGTCTCCGCTTAAGGGTGGTTGGAATATAGCAGTGCATAGCCTTTGACTGATTAGGGATAACTTAGTTTGATGAGACGGATGGATAGCTGGTGACAGTCAAGAATGCAGTAAACTCTCTGCCCCCAGCTCGAGCTTTCTGCCTTCAAGACTCTTCGTTGCCCATGCAGTTACACATACAATTAAGTCACTAGTAAAAATGAACTATGAACATTTAACGCAGTTCTTGGACATCGTAATGGCATTTGGAGAGAAGCATACATGTTTGATGAAGCCTGGTGGAAGGCAATGGGTGTGCTGGAGGCTGAGCTGTTGTATTTTTGGCCCATTGCCAAATATAGTATGTTACAAAGCAAGTCCCTTCAACAATCTCCATTGTTGCAGGGACTTGCTTTGTAACATACTACACACCCACCAAGGTTGGTGCCGGTGAGCCCAAAAAGCCATACTTTGTTTGCCCTTTTGCTGTTAAGGTGGCAGGAAGCAAGAGCCTACTGGTTGCTTAGCAAAACATGCCTTCCTAAATAGAGTGCTCGTGCCATGTAAGCCTGTTTTAAAGGGTTGGGGACATACAATTAAACGAGTGAATTCTTGAAATGGAACGCTCGTAAGCTGCTTAGCCTATACACCAAGGTTCATAATTTTTAGATCCCTAGCAATTGCAATAAATTTACGAATGTCGTCATTTCCATCTGGTGACCAGGCAACGTTGCACCATGTTTTATCAGGTTTGAAGGAACATACAATCGATCCTAGCAGTGTAGTTGTCTTCCATTTCTCTCAAGTCCTAACCCCTAATCTTGTTTTTGTATGTAGCTTTTACTCCTTGCAAGTATGCATAGGTGCTGTTCGAGGTATGGAAACAATAAAATTGATAGTCCACACTGTTGAAGGTGTAGTGTGGAAGTGGAAATGATTTTCCTCCAATCTGCTTGGAGCAGCCATCTTAATTCAAGTATGAATATGTGGGCAGGTACTACAACATTGGCAGATAAAGAGCTTGTTTATGCAAGAGCAATAGCATCCAACAATTGCCTTGCTCCAAACCTGGCAGCAGATTTCTTTGCACGATGCGAGCACCTCCCAGATAAGAAAGCCTAAGTGCCGAATTTTCCTGCGTTGCTGAAAGACATCGTAGGCCACAGATTGGAGACAAGTGCTGCTTCAGCGTACGAGACTCCTTGTCGAACGCCGACACCATAGTAGTGTCCAATCTGAGGCCTATGGTGGCCTTCAGTGATGCAGGAAAATTCACCACTTGGGCTCTCTTATCTAGGAGGTCTCGTACATACACCCACTGTCTGAAAATAGGTTTCAGAATCTACACGGTGTCCATGAGTGCCAGAAGACAGGAAATATAGGGGTATTCACTTGACAACTTGTTTGAGGACGATGGCACGTGCATTCACAGAACGAGCTCATTATTAGGCTGCTGAGACCGGAAATCTTGTTGGTGTGGGATGCACATTGCCAAAGAACTCTGGAAGCTTGCCGTAGGCACGTGCTTGGCATTTGTGCACACATCTGTGGCTGTCGGTGAATACTATGCAGGAGGCAATGCCCATATGCTTGCAGCTTGCCTGGGGTGGGTAATTTTTCAAATTCATGGTTTGAGAAATTTTAACTTCGAAACACTGACTCATTGCTCCAAAGAATTCCGGTTTGCCTGAACTTGTGCTCAATTCTATGGGGAATTTCTACCTGCTCTCAAACTGCAAATTCCAACAGTTGGTCTCTAGACCAGTGAAAATTTGTTGGCAGCTGCCAGAAAAACTGCTTATCTGAGACTCCTGCAAAACTGACGGCACCAAGCGGGAAAACTGGGAACCAGCCGGAACAGGTCGCTTTGTGCCTCTCCGCATGTCTGGCAACTTTTGCGGACACTTGTTGTCGGCGTGGTGGCGAACAATGTAATTTGACGAAGATCTGATTATTTCTTAAGTTGGCCCGAGTGTTCATTAGTGTGGTGAAGAAGCCTCAGTAAATTGTCTCCTTCCATCACGTGTTTGAAAGCTCGTTTATTCCACAGCACATGGTCGCATGCTTTCGATATCTTGGATGGGAGGAAGATATCGCGGAAAAACATTTTGATTTGTTTGTCTCGAAAGTGACGACGCTTGGTAACTGATAAGTGGTTTCTTTATAAGGATGTAGAGCAGTGGACTGAGGACGACAAACGAGATGTTTCACTGGAGGGAACACCAATTTTGTCAAGTGAATGGGAAGGTTCGATAGCTTCTTTTCTTGAGTTTGGTTGTGTTCGATTAGTTTCAAGATTGAGCCACCCACGCTGGGCGGTGCATTGGCTATTAGTGTTGGCTGCTTTTCGCTGAAAAAGTTTCTGGACCACACCGAAGGAGTTGGGCTGATTTCGCAATTACTTGATTCCGTAAAACCTGCTCGCTGCATGCGATTAACGAGGGAAATTGTCTGCTTTCAAAAGGTAGCGGACGCGTTTCGCAAAGTTAGAAGCTGTCGCAACATTATGATCTGTCGTGCCTCCAATATTTATATTATGTATACCCCTGCCGAAGCCAGCAACAATATACATCTACATTGCTCAGGTTGTCCGGCCAGAAAAAATACTCCATTTCTCCGTTTAGGATTCAAAGTCAAGTTTAATGCCCAGAGGGGTTCTGCGTGAATCTCCGATAAAGACTTCAGTTTGTCCGCGTTCATCTCCGTGCTGCCGGCTAGAACCATTTGGCTGATTTTAAGTAGTATCTCTGTCTGTCAAATACACTTTTATTCAGCAGTTCACCTAATAGCTAGTCAACTAAGCTCATATAGCAGCCCAAAGAATATACCATCACTTTAGTGGGACATAGTACATACTATAATACATAACCCGCGTATTCGTCAAAATGACTTTTCGATTGCTACTAAAGCCTGAATTGAAATAAGAGTATCAGCTGCTTAGTGGAGCACCAGCGGGTT